GGGCATGACCTAAAGAAGCTGGATAATCCTAATATTTCAGCTATCTCTTTCACTGATCCATGCCTGATGGCCCTACCGGGGGTAAAGCGTAAGTTTTCTTGGTACTCTTTTAATCCGGATATTTTCTACTTAAATGTGGGGTGTTTCTTTGATCCTCAATACAGGATTAATGTGGACTTCCGAAAAAAAGAGCAACTTGCTAAAGCTGTTACTCCTGACAACCATGCTGAGGATGGTGCCATATCTTTGGGAAAAAAGGCCACTGCCCTTTCTGCCCCACCTGAGGCCAATCAGGCTGCCTCACCTGCAGCTGAACTTGCGGCCAAACAGACTGCCCCACCTGCGGCCAAACAGACTGCCCCACCAGTGCAGCAGGCTGCCTCTATTGTTAGTGGAGAAGCCGAGGCCCAAAGGATGAATACGGGAGTGGAAACTGCTGCGCAGTTTGTAGAAACTAGAGGAGACCAAGCTATAAACGAGGGAAAAGGCTACTTGGTGACCAATATGTACGAGATGGGACTTGATGATGTGATTACCTTGCTCACAGTTAATGAAAAGGGCAAAACAGTGGCCTATGCATGGGAAAAGGACCAAGTTCCAAAAGGTATAAAGGTTATCAAGTTGGGGCCAAAGCTGGAAGACCTAAATGGTGTGGATGATGGGATTAACTTCACTGAAGAGTTCCTACTTAGCTGCCCGGAAGTTAAAATTAATGGGGACTGGTATGATTTCGACAAACCCACCTTTACTTCTCGTGTTTTATCTTTCTTCGATCCTAACCTTGACAGGAACAAGAAATATTTGAAGGAGATGAAAAGGAGAGCAAGGAAAGAGAAGGAAAAAGGGATAGATCCCGAGGATGAGGGGTTTAACCCTGATTTCTATCTTACATGATTTCTCGCTGTTTTTGGCTGTTTTTTGGTTTAACCCTGCTCTCGGCTCTCTTGAGGGTTGTACCTGCTGGTTTGTGGCGTGTTTGTTGTCTGGGTTTAGTTTCGTTTTTAAATAATGTTTTATTATGATAAAAATTCCTTCCTGGAATGTTAGGGGTTTGAAAAAACCGTCCAAGCATAGTACTATTAAAAATTTTATTAGATTTAATCATATTAATTTGTGTTGCTTTTTAGAGACTAAAATGTCATCAGTTGGTTTTCATAATTACGTTGCTAATGTGTGGCCGGGATGGGCGCATGAAACTAATTTTGCTCAAATAAATGGGGGACGCATAGGTATTATGTGGGACCCAAATTTTGTGATTTGCAATTTTTTTGAACTTGATAAACAACATGTTCATGTTAAATGCACTTGCCGGGTCACACAAACTGTTTTATATGTGACTTTTGTCTACCCTTTATATACTGTCTTAGAACGGAAAACCTTATGGGAACACCTAACAGAATTAGGGGTTTCTATTTTAGAACCGTGGATTATTTGTGGTGATTTTAATTGTGTGTGCGCGCCAAATGAAAGGGTGAGTCCTGCTCCCCCTTCGGCGTACAGGATGCAACATTTATTTGACTTTATGGTCTCGGCTAACCTCCAAGATGCCCCATCTACGGGTGTTTTTTACACTTGGAATAAAGGCAATCTTTGGGCTAAGCTGGACCGGGTATTACTTAATGATGCTTGGGGACAAAATGGCTTTGAGTGTAAGGCATATTTCTTTGAAATTGAAGTGGAGTTTGACCATTCTGCGTCCGTTATTTCTCTAACACACAACTCCACACCTAAGCCTAAGCCATTTAGATTCTTCAACATGTGGATTAAACATCATGATTTTGCTAACCTAGTTGCGCAGATTTGGCACCAAACAGTGGAGGGCTCGGCCCAATACTCTATGGTAAGGAAGTTGAAGATGCTAAAAGGACCGCTCAAGAAGCTAAATGAAAAAGAATTTGGGCACATCTCTTCCAAAGCCAAAGCTGCCAAAGAAGATTTCAAGAGAATTCAAAACCTAGTGCTCCAATTTCCGATGGATGAAGAACTCCAAAGCCAGTTGAAGGAAGCAAGAGGCCGAGCCACATTCCTTGGTGAAGCGGAAACCAGCTTCTATCAACAGAAGGCTAAGGCTGTGCATATCCTGGAGGCGGATAAGGGTACTAGGTATTTCCATGCAATCGTGAAGAGGAAGGCCGCGCGGAACTCAATATCTTCTATCACTCTTGAAGATGGTAGGCTTACTACATCTTTAGAGCAAGTTGGTGATGAGTTTGTGAAGTTTTTTATTGATTTGTTTGGTACAAGTACCGAATGCCATCATTTTGATCCCACGGTGTTGGGATCCGGTCCCCTGGTGGAACCTAGTATCCACGACAGCCTCCTTGCATCGATTGAGACAATAGAGATTAAAAATGCTCTATTTGACATCGGCAATGACAAGGCACCGGGACCAGATGGTTATTCATCTGCATTTTTTAAGTCCAATTGGGAAATTATTGGGCATGATATAGTCCAGGCCGTCAAAGAGTTTTTTCGCTCGGGGAAATTATTAAAGCAAATTAATCACACGGTTATTGCGCTTATCCCCAAAACGAATCACTCACCGAAGGTCTCGGACTATAGACCAATCTCATGCACGAATGTGATGTATAAAATTATTACTAAGATAATTGCGGCTAGACTCACTCCGTGCCTACCTGGCCTGATTGACCTAGCCCAAGGTGCTTTTGTTGATGGGCGCCTCATGTTTGATAACATTTTCCTTGCCCAAGAACTTGTTAGAGGATACATGAGGAAGCGGATATCACCTAGATGCATGATCAAGGTGGATTTGCGCAAGGCCTATGATACTATTTCTTGGAGCTTTCTTCAAAAGGTCTTGAGGGGCTTGGGCTTCCCGGCGAGATTTATTGGATGGATTATGGAGTGCGTAACCACGGCTTCATTCTCCGTCTCCTTGAATGGTACATTGTATGGTTTCTTTCAGGGTAAGAGGGGCATTAGGCAGGGAGATCCAATGTCTCCACTACTATTTGTCCTTTGCTTAGAATATTTTTCTCGACTTATTAACTTGAAAACCAAAGGGCCAAATTTTAATTTTCATCCCCAATGTGCTAAACTAGGATTGACACACTTGGCTTACGCAGATGACTTAATACTCTTCTCTCGGGGCGACACTTACTCAATTGAAATACTTGTCAAAGCCCTTGAAGAGTTTGGGGATGCATCGGGCCTTAAAGTGAATCATGATAAGTCAAACATTTTTGTTGGTGGAGTTAATGAGAATGATCTTCAGGAGATTATGGCCCTTGTGGACTTTGGGCGTGGCACATTCCCGGTAAAATACCTCGGAATTCCACTTGCCCCCCTAAAGGTTTCTGTGGCGCAATACTCACCGCTGCTAGACACTATATCGGATTTTTTAAAAGCATGGAACACAAAGACTTTATCCTATGCCGGAAAACTAGAGCTGATAAGATCTGTGATCCAAGGGGTCCAATCTTTTTGGCTCCAGGTTTTCCCGGTCCCCCAAACAATCCTAGATAGGATAGTCTCTATTTGCCGAATTTTTCTATGGGGTGGGAAATATTCTAAAGTGGCTTGGGACGACATTTGTCTTCCAAAAGAGGAGGGGGGCCTTGGCATTCTTAATGCCAAGATCTGGAACCATGCTCTCCTGTCTCGGACACTTTGGGATGTCCATAGGAAAAAAGACACTCTTTGGGTGAGGTGGGTAAATGGGGTGTACCTTAAGGGTAGGAGCGTGTGGGATTTTATCCCACACACTCGTGACTCAATGTTCATGAAGAAATTGAGTCACATCCGAGACCGAATTTTGGGATGCTTTAACAATTTGAATGATACCATTATGGGCCTAAATAGTAGATCCATTAATGGTAAACTTCTTTCCGGAAAGATCTATGACTTGTTGAGAATTAAAGGAACATCGAGAGTGTGGATGAGCTTCATTTGGAAGTCTTATATCCCTCCGAAGTTCTCATTTAATGTGTGGCTTGCTATGAGGAACCGGTTACCTACACAGGATAACCTTGGTTACCTACATTTGGTTAATCGTTGTGACCTATGCAAGGGTGGATTGGAAACAATGCCACACCTATTTTTTCGTTGTCATTTTACTTTTAGGGTCTGGGAAAAAATCAAGGAATGGTTAGGCATGACTCGAGAGATGACCACGATGTCTAGCTCCATCAAATGGATCTTGAAGGATCATAAAGGATCAAAGATCAAAGGGAAAGCTATTCGGATTGCGTTTGGAGCTGCGGTTTACTATCTTTGGCACGCTAGGAACACTAACCGATTTGATGAGGGGGACATACAGGAAGAGGAAGTGATTGCAAAAATTAAGCATGTGGTGTATAAAATACTTTTCAGTTTATACCCGCATGACTTGATTACTTTCTGAGTAGAAGGACTTGCGGCATGGATATTATGGATGTCGGGGTTTTTGGATAGACCGATACATGTTGGTTGGGGGCGCCGAGGCATGGATATTATGGATGCTGCGGCTTGGGTACCTCACACACCGCGGCATGGACATCATGGATGCCGCGGCATCAAGCATGGTCTTGGACTGTATGGTGTTTGATGTAACAACACCTTTGGTAGTGTTGTACTTTGTTTAGAATTTAGCCTTTGCATGGACAGATATGATGTATTTTTGAACCTCTTGATGAGCCAAGTACTATACTTGGTATTTTGTGGCATAGATTAGATCAAATAAAAACCTCCTTTCACCCTCACATTACGTGGGAATGGGGGAGGATTTAGGAGATCTAGGATATGTGATGTATAGTTTTTCTGGGTGTTAATATATATTTACATTTCATCCAAAAAAAAAATTACTCTTAGGATAAAATCACCTACTGATTCAAGACTACTTCAAACATATCTGCACACACACCTTATAGAGATAAAACTATATATTTATTTAACCTGCAAACTAAAACAATAACTCTGAGACTATATTTGAGCAGCTCCAACGACATGCTAAAAGCTTATAACACTGCTTGTAACATCAAGTGTTCAATTGTAAAAGGAAACCTCGAGTAGATAGGGTGATTAGAAAGATTACAGTAGTATACAATTAAAAATAATACTCCTTGATCATAAGATCTTAAGGCAAATACATGGCAAATTTATGAGTTACTAAGACAATGACAGGGGAAAAAATTAACTTCATCAAAATCAAGAAGAATCCATTATAAAGAAATAAACTGAATTACATGAGTGGTTTCAGAGCTGTTGTTCGCTTTTGAGGAGGCGTGTCAAGCTTCTTTTGAAATCTATACACGATTTCAATATGTAAATCCTTTTACACATGTCCAAATGTAAAAGAAGCCTCTAGTAGAAACATATATGGGAAGATTAGAAGTCTTAGAGTATACAACAACAAAAAAACTCCTTGCAGATAAGAAATTGAACTCAAAGGATGAAGGATGAACACAATGGAAATGAAATATTAAAAACAAAAGCTCTTATACTTAAAAGAACATATTTCGGATAACAGAAATATATTAGTGCTAATATTAGAGATCTCTAATCTGATAAATTTCCTTATATATCATGAACTTTTGTATCCAGATGGTGAAAAGGCATTATTTTCCTTATTTCTTTATTAATCTGGTTTTGCTGGTGTTGTTGGTCATTGCCCAGAATATCAAAGAATAAAAAAATAATAAATTGAAATCAAACATGTTTTTTCTCTCATTCAAATTGCTCCAGATTATCACAGTATCAAATTTCTCGCGGTCACTATTCAAATAGAAAAGCACTTGTCACATGTCAAAATGAGCATTCTCTTATTCACAATGATCTCCTTATTCTAATTCTAATAAAAAACAGATCACCAACTTAAACATATGTTTTATTCTGGCTGTATTATTTTAGTACTTAGAGACCTATCCTTGTTTCACAGGGATTCGGGAAATATCTTTTGAGTATATATGGCACGGGATTGAAAAGTGTTGAATGCATACAACTTTTAACCCTCTAACCTGAACTCAATATGCCTAATAAAGCACTATCCTGACATCCTATATGAAAATGAGTTGATAACTTTTCAAGCACATGAGGAAAAAACCCATTATTCTAAAAAAAGGCATTTAACAAAAGTCGAAATGAGCATTCTATAATTCACAATGATCGCCCCCATTTGGAAAGACCCCATACAGAAAAAGGTCAACCCTTTTGATTAATTATTTCACGGGAATTTAACCCAACTGTGCCTCTTAAAACTTGCATGCGTGCACATGGAAGTGTCTCTTCATCTCTGCCTGCTATTCTTGTTTTAAAACTTGAATGCATGTACAGTTGTCCTATGCTATGTATAGCAAGTTAGCAACCAACAAACACTTCTTTAAACTCTAGAGAGTATATAATAAGACATTCAAATTAAATCATTCTCAAATAGAAAACGTGTATTAGCAGAGTTTACTAATTTATATAAGTAAATTGCAGGTACTTACTTCAGAGAAGCGGAAACAGTGAACACCATTCTTGGAAGAAAAGAGATTTAACCGGATTCAGGGAAATGGCATTCCACTAGCGTGAATAGCATACAACTAAAGAAAAGTGAAAAGAAAACTAATAAAAAATATATTAATTATGTAAGTTAAAGGAAAGAATTAATAAGAGTTGGAACGAAGTTATAACCTGATATGAAGTATAAACAGAAGAGCATTCAAACGCCTTATAGTCGCAATCTGTGGAACACCATTTCTTGCCTAGTGAGTAGCTCGTTGAACACCACTCTGTTACAGGGTGATCCACCTATATCATCATCATAAAAATAGAACTAATTTACATAAAAAGTTGAAAGGAAAGAGATGAGAATGTGAATGAAAATACATTGTTGAAAAAATGCAGAATTTAAAAGCATGAAATGAATGCTTTTACGATAGCATTTCGCAACTGAGAAAAGGGCGTTGGCATGGTAAGTCCAGACATCCAGATCGTCTCCAACGGAGAAAAAGCGCTTCAGCAATTGGAAAATGATAATCCCGATAATCAGCTCAAATCAAATGATTTATGACTGTTGTTTTACTGACCTTCGCTTGCTGCGAGAGCAAGGAGGCATCTCTGCTTCTTTGAAAGTCTTTGAAACCTTATTCTTCTTCTTCGTTATATGGTCTTCAATGATGAATTTCTGCTTCACACGATGTTCTCCATCGTTGTTTTTCTTGAACAATCAAATAAAAATGTTTGATAAGGATTGGAAATGATTCTGATCAATGGTGTAAGTTTCTGCTTCGCACGGTTGGGATGATTCGGATGAAGGTGAGGGTGGATAAGGGTTTAGATGAAGCGGAATGTTTGATTAGGGATAGATGGACAATGATTTCTCATGGAGGTTGAAGTGAATCCAGGAGACCAGGACGACGAGATGTGGTTTAATGGACGGGATGTTGAGATGGACGGTTGAGATGCAGAATAATGTTAGGCAGGAGATTGAGACAACAGTAAAAAGTAGTATTGCTTTTATGTATTTATAGATTATAGATTTTTCTTTAAATAATTCAAACTATCCGTTATCCCAAACAAACCCAACTTTTGAATAAAATTTTCAAAATGACCATGTGAGTATGTGACTGAAAATAACTCATTATCGAAACTAACAGTATAATTTATTTATGTTCTATTCTTGTTTGGAATTTGTTCTACTCCCTTCTAACAACTGTAATACTTCAAGATGACAAAAATATGGGAGAATAGGTCATAAAGATGGAAACATGTGGTTTGGTTCATTTCTTTTATTGCTACAACGTACACCTAGAAAAATACATTCATCCCAAATTACAAAAATAACAATTCTCATCTTTCAAATTCTGATTTTTTTCTTATGAAGATTTAATAGGTCTCTTTTTCTTTTGCACCAGAACTACAAATTTGTATCGCCTGTTAAAATTTAGGTCTCGACAACGAATAGTGAACTCATTTTCCTTGCACCTAGACGCATGCGTTCTTGACTATCTAATCTAAACAAGATAAAACTACGCTTGTAATTAAGACATGAATAAATAACTACATGTAACCGAAGTTTGTGCAATGGAATACATTTTTAAGAACATTATTGTGATCAATTGTATATAACAAATGCTTATATAATAACTATATTTACTCATCTAACTGACCATTATGTCCGGCCTATTCAGGGTGCAAGACATTTTCAGCAAGATTTTGCACCATTACAGCTTTGAATGCCTGGACACCATAATTAGAAAAGTCTCCGAGTCCGTTGATTCCAAATTTCTTCCAAATCAGGCCTTCTGGTCCAAACTTATCAAACAGTACCCAAACAGAACATGTCTCACCCGTGCGGGTTAAAACCACTATTTCCCCGGTGGGAATTGTTGTAAGAGTGCAAAAAGTTTTACTTCCGGCCACCTGAAACGGCCCATGCAGCTCAAATGGAAGAAGGAAATGGTGTTTCTTCCAGCATGAGGCCGAGTTCGCCACCATATCCAAACTCCAGGTAATAAGCATGTTTTGAAAGATACGAATGACAGTAAACCGTCCGTCCAATTCTACAAAAGAGGATTTCGCCATATCACCTTGTTCCATAGCTTCCATTACACTTTTGGCCTGAGGGAGAGCAATCAGGCGGAAAGTCTCCGATCTGAGATCGAATGCCACAATGGGAAAGTCACGGACTGCTGCTTTCGTCCGCCTCCCATTGTAGAAATAGAGAACACCATTTATGCAAACACTAGTGTTGTAATGGCAACCAGGGTAAAATTGTGCAGAGGAGTTGATCTCCCGCCAGGTTGCATCCACGCCCAGTGTCAACACCCAGTGCTTGACGGTAGGGTCACCAAATTCCGATTTCAAAACTTTGTATGTTGCCGAGGAGCTGTCGAATCCCAAGAGCACGAAAGCATTGGTCTGATAAACGGCCCAATCCGGAGTTGTTGTCAGGAGGGCAGTCTGTTGTCCGGATCTGAGGTTGCAAATCACCCCTTTTCCTCCATCAAGGCAGTCGGAGAGACATATCAGATCTCCCGCGGAAGACCCGTATCGGAATTCGCTGAAGTTGCCAACTTTGTCCATGTGCCTAACACGTTTTGCTTCAAGGGGCTGATTTCCTTCGAGAGATTTGTAATTTATGGTGTAAAACTCCTCCGGCGGGGAACAGTACTTGAACCACACGGATTTGTCCGTGAAGTCATCAGATTTAGGAGTATCAACCGGAGCTGAAATAGAGAAGAGTATGGTTGTGCCGCGGTCAGCCGCCGTGGACCAATTCCGGTGAAACTCGACGAAACTTGGACCAGTGATTATGGAACGGAAGGATTTGGAAACGCAGCATAGCTTCCCTCGAGATTTGGCACCAAGTCGAATAAGAATTTCGAAAAGGATATCTTGGGGAAGAAGAGAAAGCTGGAAGAAGAGATTTGGATTGGGAAAACGAACTCTCTGCCTGGCATGATCGTCTTGTTGGAATAGACGCTCCATATTAATACGCAAACGGCAGATGTATAGTAGCCGTGGTTTGATTATTGGGACGGACGGAGGGGTTTGAGACGGAGGGGGTGGTGTGGTTTTTAAGAAAAAGTGGAATTGTGTGGTTGGTATTGAATTGATAAAGTGTAAATAAAGTAAGAATGAATTCTAATGGGTGATTTACCAAAAAGCGGGGATATGCCATATTGAATTCCAAAAAGCGGGGAAATAACTAGGTTTTACCAAATAGCGCAGGTCGGATTACCCAATTCCGACAAGGAATTAGGGTTTCAAAAAAAACCCACACTCCCCGTCGGAACACCCCATTCCGACCCCATTTAATTTATTTTTTTTAGTTGTCGGATTAGGTGATTCCGACCCCCTTTTTTTAAAAAAAATTGTTGTCTTTTTTTTTAGTTGTCGGATTAGGTGATTCCGACCCACTTTTTTTTATTTGTAGTTATAAAAATGTTAAAGTTTGAAATTGTAGGGTTAAATGAAAACTTTTTGGTATAATTTTTTTGAGTTTTATCCATTCCAAGTTTAAAAGTTTAATTATATTAATCACATGTTTTTTTAAAATCTAAACATTTTGTATGTGTAGTATAAAACATTTGATTGCTTTATATTGTTTTGTAATGCATTTGTATTGTGAATTTTTTTTTTAATTGCAATTTTTGTAATTTGAAGTGTAATTTTGATTTAATTTATTTGTCAAATTAGGTACAACTATGATGGTGTTTTGAGGGCAATTTTAGTAATTTTAAAGGAAGTGAACAAAAAGAATGTACTTTTCAATGTAATTCATTAATGAATAGAGAGTACATATAACATTAAATTTAATACTACAGCTAATGTTGTGTGCTCGGCCCTGCTCCGTCTCCACCGCCACTGTTCCAAGGCACCGTTGGGTCTCCATAGAAATATGATGAACTCAGAAATGAGTCAACAAAATCATCGGGTTGCCTAGTGAACTGATAAGATTCATAATACGGCGGTGGTTGATCAAATGTGACGGATTGATGCGTTGAGAATTGAGGTGGTGGTTGATCAAATGACACACCTTACATAATTAAATGATACTCTCAAAGTCTAATTTTACAATCTAAATTAAAAATTCACAAATTACAAAATTAACTACTTCTATACTCATATAATTGAAAATTAACTAACCTGAAAAGAGGCTAATCTCAAAGGTTCGAGAGGAATAGCTTGATAGATTGAAGAATAATATTGTAATTATTATGTATTGAGATGTGAAAATATGAGGTGAGGTGTAAACAAATCTATTTATAATGGTCGAGTAAATAATATAAAAACAAAAAAAACCTCCTGTCAGAAGTCAGTGTTCCGACCAGAAAAAAAAATTAAAAATGTAGTCGGATTAGGGTGTTCCGACTGGAAGGGATGATCCGGATGGTTAGATGGTGATCCGCGTAGGTGTGAAGAACGGTGAGGATTAGGATTCCAATAAAATGTTTTTCTTTAGTAGATCCGCGTAGCTCGAACGAACGGATAGGATTAGGATTGAAAAAATTTGTTTCTTTACTCGGATAAGTTGGAGTGTATTGAATATTTTAGGTTGATGACACTTAAATTTTATCGGATAAAATTTATCTCATTATATTTATGTGATGAAATTTGATCTTATTCAGTTATCTTATTAAACTTTATGTGATAAAATTTTTCTGATTATATTTATGATTACATTTGATCTTATTGAAATTATCTTATTAAATTTTATGTCATTATATTTATGTGATTAAATTTTATGTTATTGCAATTATCTTATTAAATTTTATCTACTTAATTTCATCAGATAAATTTTATCTGATAAAATTTACATCATTATCTTTATGTGAATTTAATCTGAACAAAAACGTCACATACAATGAAACAGATCCGAAAAGGGAAACAAATATTTCATTACAAATTGGATGCAAAACTTAAATTTCATTACAAATATACAATACAATATTACTCATTCTCTCTACGCGTAGCACGCAAATCCATTTCGTTGGGAAATCGAGTTCTTTGTGGCCTACCGGCTCGAGCAAATCTGTTGTTTGTGGGCGGGAGAAGTGTATGTTGTGTTTCTCGCACGTAATTATTAATAGGCATAATATCAGAAGCGTACGTCCAGATGTACGCATTTAACGAATACACAGCTGGGATGAGGCCGTCTATGGATATTTTTAAAAACCGACAAACCGCATATGCGTGAACACATGGCAGCCCATTCTGCTTCCAATACCCGCAACCACATTCCTGCCTTGTCAGATCGATTGTCACCGGATCATGCGAACTAATGGCTACAGAGTAAATCCCGGTTGTGAAATTATGCGGGACAATAGTTGTCTGATACCTACGCTGGGATCGCTCAAGAACAGCATTCCATATGTTCTTTGGATATAAGAATCCAGCTTGGTGCCACATTATTCCCGCATTTCGTCGATCGGCAAACAGTTGGACGACTTTATCGAATGTGGCCTGTACTAGTGCGGTGATAGGCAATGTGCGACATCCCTTTAAGACATTGTTAAAACTTTCTGAAAGGTTTGTCGTCAAAATGCCATATCTCTTGCCATCGTCATAGCTCAGGGCCCACATCTCATAAGGAATCTCATTCAAATATAAAAAGGCACTCTCATTTATGCCTCGTATTTGTTGCATACATTCGTGAAATTCATGTTCTGTGGGAGTGCTACCAGCTTGCCAACACAATTTTTTCAGATCCGCGTTTCTGAACTTGGTCATGAAATTACTCCGTATGTGACAGAGGCAATAACGCTTTGAAACTTGTGGCGATCTCAACTCTGGCAAGGATCTAAATGCACTTTCAATTCCTGCATGACGATCGGAGATAATGCACACACTACGATGACTTCCAACCACATCACGCATAACCCAGCTAAAGAACCACGACCAACTGTCAGCATTCTCACTCTCAACAACAGCATATGCAAGAGGAAATATCTCACGGTTAGCGTTCATGGCTACCGCTACTAGAAGAACCCCCTTGTATTTGTCATACAAGTGAGTCCCATCAACCGAGACTACAGGTAAGCAATAGCTAAATTTCTAACCCTAAAATTTAGCTATTTATAGGGTTTCAAGTATTTTATAGCTAAATTTCAAGTATTTTATAGCTAAATTTAACCCTAAAATTCAAATTTAACAAATAAATTTCAAAAAATTTACAAATTACTAAATCTACTACTTCTATGTTCCTAAAAAAAATTAAGGCAAATTAAGTTAAAGATATATATATATATATATATATATATATATATATATATATATATATATATATATATATATATATATATATATATATATATATATATATAGGGGAAGGTTCAAGTGAGAACACTCTCTTAGGAGAGAAATGAGAATTCAATCCAACCACACATTAATTGAATCATGCGGCCGAAACATGAGATTTGGAATTCAAAACTCGGATGTTACGAGACGTGCTGTTAGAGGAAAAATAGGAAAGCATGAATGGGTTTAATAATTGAAGGATATTTACGTAAAGAGGTAAGGTGGCATTTATCTCTATAACCGACCACTACAATTCTTTCCATAAAAATCTCTTATGTTTCTCAACTTTTGCTAAAATCTTGGACATCCAATTAATAGGCATTGAATTTTTTATTTATCACTTGCACACGTGAACTTATAGTCTTAAATTATAGCAATTGGATCTTTCCTAATATTTTGTTTTTCACATGTTTTTTCTGGTCTGGATAATTAAATTACCTTTTAAAAATTCATGTTTATTTTTTTTTGCATTAATCAAATAATTTTTTTCAAAAATAAATACTTCCTCATAAATATTAAACTATAATATGTCAAAGTTTTGCATTATGATTTTTTACAAATTCACTTTTATTCACACGATTTGCACTCCAGTATATAGTAGCTGCACTTTTATTAAAAATTTATGCAACATAGTTTTAACTAAATATATAAGGGTGTAAACTATCAACTATAATGTTTTCTAAATTTCTACATTGATACTCTCTTACAGAGTAAAATGCACTTTTAGTGTGCATTTAAATCTATATAAAAGTGCACTAGTATCACATTTTTCTAAAATTTTACATGAGATGCACTTTTCTTTAGAAAACATCACGAATTCCATTATGATTCCATCTCCTAGTGTCACTTTTATCGGCAAAAAAGTGTAAAACGAAAAACTATTGAAAAGTGCATCAAAAGTTTAACACAAAATTTATTATTATTATCATATTAGAAGTTAATAGATGGCTATTATCTTATTATCGATTTTGTTAAGGACAAAATTAATATTTTTATTCAATTAACCTTTACAATCAAGTCATTAATATGCACTTTAGCCTTTGTAGTTGTGCACTTCTATATATTTCTAAATAAAAATGAAAGTAAACATCAGAGGGTTTGTAAACAAACAGCTATCATGTGCATTTCTAATATAAATAAAAAGTGGACCATTATATTATACGTAGTACTTTATTAAATTTTATGTTTGCACTTTGTTACAAAGTTAAATGTATTTTTATCGTGTGTGTTTTAAATATATACAAAAGTGCACTATTATATCGCACAAATTAAGGCCCTTTTAATGACAATTATCTAATTAAGACATTGTCTTTTGGTGTCACATGTGTTTGTAAAAAAAGAAAACTAAAAATAATGGAAAGTGCATGAATAAGATATGATAAGTGCATCAAAGTAATCTTAGTTATGTTGTGCACTTACATATGAGTTGTTGTGCACTTTTCAATTAACATGAAATGAATTCTTATAAACGTGACTTACATCTTTATTGCACATAAAGAAATTCCCAAAATAGATAAATCAAAATAGATAGAATGATAAATACAAAAACTAAAGAGAAGATATATGTAAAGAAAAGTACAAAGAAAAATATTATGAAAAAGTAAAATATAAGAAAACATATTTTAGTGTGTAAAACATATAAGAAAATATTATAGTGTGTAAAACATAAAATAATGAAATGAAAAAGAAAAAGTAAACAAACCCTCAATGAACCGAATTGGAGATTAAAGA